ATTCAAATGAATTCTTTTTAATGGCTGAGTAATATTCCATGGTGTATATGTACCACAGCTTCCTCATCCATTCGTCTGCTGATGGGCATCTAGGTTGCTTCCATGTCCTGGCTATTATAAATAGTGCTGCGATGAACATTGGGTTGCACGTGTCTCTTTCAGATCTGGTTTCCTCGGTGTGCATGCCCAGAAGTCGGATTGCTGGGTCATATGGCAGTTCTATTTTCAGCTTTTTAAGAAATCTCCACACTGTTTTCCATAGTGGCTGTACTAATTTGCATTCCCACCAACAGTGTAAGAGGGTTCCCTTTTCTCCACACCCTGTCCAGCATTTATTGCTCGTAGACTTTTGGATAGCAGCCATCCTGACTGGCATGTAATGGTACCTCATTGTGGTTTTGATTTGCATTTCTCTGATAATGAGTGATGTTGAGCATCTTTTCATGTGTTTTTTTGCCATCTGTATGTCTTCCTTGGAGAAATGTCTGTTTAGTTCTTTGGCCCATTTTTTGATTGGGTCATTTATTTTTCTGGAGTTGAGCTGGAGGTGTTGCTTGTATATTTTTGAGATTAATCCTTTGTCTGTTGCTTCATTTGCTATTATTTTCTCCCAATCTGAGGGCTGTCTTTTCATCTTGCTTATAGTTTCCTTTGTTGTGCAAAAGCTTTTAAGTTTAATTAGGTCCCATTTGTTTATTTTTGCTTTTGTTTCTAAAATTCTGGGATGTGGGTCATAGAGGATCCTGCTGTGATTTATGTCGGAGAGTGTTTTGCCTATGTTCTCCTCTAGGAGTTTTATAGTTTCTGGTCTTACATTGAGATCTTTAATCCATCTTGAGTTTATTTTTGTGTATGGTGTTAGAAAGTGTTCTAGTTTCATTCTTTTACAGGTGGTTGACCAGTTTTCCCAGCACCACTTGTTAAAGAGGTTGTCTTTTTTCCATTGTATATCCTTGCCTCCTTTGTCGAAGATAAGGTGACCATAGGTTCGTGGATTTATCTCTGGGCTTTCTATTCTGTTCCATTGATCTATATTTCTGTCTTTGTGCCAGTACCATACTGTCTTGATGACTGTGGCTTTGTAGTATAGTCTGAAGTCAGGCAGGTTGATTCCTCCAGTTCCATTCTTCTTTCTCAAGGTTACTTTGGCTACTCGAGGTTTTTTGTATTTCCATACAAATTGTGAAATTATTTGTTCTAGTTCTGTGAAAAATACCGTTGGTAGTTTGATAGGGATTGCATTGAATCTATAGATTGCTTTGGGTAGTATAGCCATTTTGACAATATTGATTCTTCCAATCCATGAACACGGTATATTTCTCCATGTGTTTGTGTCCTCTTTGATTTCTTTCATCAGTGTTTTATAGTTTTCTATGTATAGGTCTTTTGTTTCTTTAGGTAGATATACTCCTAAGTATTTTATTCTTTTTGTTGCAATGGTGAATGTTATCGTTTCCTTAATTTCTCTTTCTGTTTTCTCATTGTTAGTGTATAGGAATGCAAGAGATTTCTGTGTGTTAATTTTTTATCCTGCAACTTTACTGTATTCGTTGATTAGCTCTAGTAATTTTCTGGTAGAGTCTTTAGGGTTTTCTATGTAGAGGATCATGTCATCTGCAAACAGAGAGAGTTTCACTTCTTCTTTTCCTATCTGGATTCCTTTTACTTCTTTTTCTGCCCTGACTGATGTGGCCAACACTTCCAAAACTATGTTGAATAGTAGTGGTGAGAGTGGGCACCCTTGTCTTGTTCCTGATTTCAGGGGAAATGCTTTCAATTTTCCACCATTGAGGGTGATGTTTGCTGTGGGTTTGTCTGAACCTGCTTTTAGAAAAGGCAGAGGAACCAGAGATCAAATCGCCAACATCTGCTGGATCATTGAAAAAGCAAGTGAGTTCCAGAAAAACATCTATTTCTGCTGTATTGATTATGCCAAAACCTTTGACTGTGTGCATCACAATAAACTGTGAAAATTCTGAAAGAGATGGTCATACCAGACCACCTGACCTGCCTCTTGAGAAACCTGTATGCAGGTCAGGAAGCAACAGTTAGAACTGGACATGGAACAACAGACTGGTTGCAGGTAGGAAAAGGAGTACATCAAGGCTGTACATTGTCACCCTGCTTATTTAACTTATATGCAGAGTACATCATGAGAAACGCTGGACTGGATGAAGCACAAGCTAGAATCAAAATTGCCAGAAGAAATACCAATAACCTCAGATATGCAGATGACACCACCCTTATGGCAGAAAGTGATGAGGAACTAAAAAGCCTCTTAATGAAAGTAAAAGAGGAGAGTGAAAAAGTTGGCTTAAAGCTCAACATTCAGGAAACTAAGATCATGCACCACTTCATGGCAAATAGATGTGGAAACAGTGGAAACAGTGTCAGACTTTATTTTGGGGGGCTCCAATCACTGCACATGGTGATTGCAGCCATGAAATTAAAAGATGCTTACTCCTTGGAAGGAAAGTTATGACCAACCTAAATAGCATATTAGAAAGCAGAGACATTACTTTGCCAACAAAGATCCATCTAGTCAAGGCTATGGTTTTTCCAGTGGTCATGTATGGATGTGTGAGTTGGACTGTGAAGAAAGCTGAGCACCGAAAAGTTGATGCTTTTGAACTGTGGTGTTGGAGAAGACTCTTGAGAGTCCATTGGACTGCAAGGAGATCCAACCCGTCCATCCTAAAGAGATCAGTCCTGGGAGTTCATTGGAAAGACTGATGCTGAAGCTGAAACTCCAATACTTTGGCCACCTCATGCAAAGAGTTGACTCATTGGAAAAGGCCCTGATGCTAGGAGGTATTGGGGGCAGAAGGAGAGGGGGACAACAGAGGATGAGATGGCTGGATGGCATCACTGACTCAATGGGCATGAATCTGAGTTAACTCTGGGAGTTTGTGATGGACAGGGAGACCTGGTTTGCTGCGATTCATGGGGTTGCAAAGAGTCAGACACGACTGAGGGACGAACTGAACTGATCAGCTATATAACGCCTTGCTAAAAACTAGCAAGGGGGCACTCTTTCTGTCCCCTTCTGAAGTCTATGTTAGAAGCTTTCTCTACCCAATTTACACTTCAATTAAACCCTATTTCAAAAAAGCTCTGAGTGATCCAGCCTTGTCTCTGGCTCCGGATTGAAGTCTTCTCCTTGGAGGCCAAGGATACCAGATATTTGCTCGCAGCTCACGGAAGTAACCTTTCAGAGTTGTATCTATGTGTGACGGGGATCATATATTTTCATTGAAATTAATAAACAAAGTTTATGCCTTAAGAATGATCTGCTTTTGTTATCATAATATGATAACTGCAACAAATTCTAGAGCAAAATTAAAAAAAAAATGCTCTTTGGCATAAATCGTTAAAACTCACCTTCCTGAGCAGTGACCACCTGGGCGCTGTTGGTAGAGTCACCCGGGCCCTGGATGGACCTGCTGTTCCCGCCCTCACCCCCATTCATGTGTCGAGGTTTAACCCCCAGTGACTGTATTTGAAGGTTGGCCTTTAAAGAGGCAATTGGGGTAAAATGTAGTCATAAGCGTGAGGCCCTAATGCAATAAGATTGTCGCCTTTATTAGAAAAGAAGAGACCAGATTCTCTCTCTTCCTGCCCCCTCCTCCAGAGGAAAGGCCATGTGAGGACACAGTTAGAGGGCAGTTAGGAATTGCAAGCCAGGTGGAGAGGTCTCACCAGAAACCACCACTACCTTGATGATCTTGGCCTTCCAAACCTCCAGAATCATGATCTAATCCTGGGATTTACATGTCTTCAGGAATCTACAATTGTAATTTTTAGAAAGAGATCAAGGGCTTTCTAGGCAGTACAGTGGTAAAGAATTGGCCTGCCAATGCAGGAGACACAGGAGTCATGGGTTCGATCCCTGGTTTGGGAAGATCCCCTGGAATAGGAGATGGCAACCCACTCCCAGTATTCTTGCCTGGAAAATCCCAAGAACAGAGGAGCCTGGCGGGCTACAGTCCATGAGGTCACACAGAATTGAACACGACTGAACACATGAGCACATGCAGACACACAAAGAGAGAGAATACAGGGCCTGTGTGTTTGTGAGTTACTTCTAGCAGAGACTGGCAGCACCCTGCAAATGAATGCTTTTGTGTTTTGGCAGTGAAACAAAAGAATATTCACATTAAATGGGATAAAGAATGTGATGAAAATAATTAACCTCGGATCAGTACAGGGGAAGATCACTGCTCAAATGCGTTACCAAAATCCCTGTGTGATTTCAGGGATCTAGAGGTTATGGAATAGAAGGTAAGACGTAGGCACTAGGATATATATGTATATATATGGGGGGGCTGGGACATGATATAAGATGTGTTTCCTGGTATGTGAACATACAGAGGCATTCTTCTTATTTCACAGAAGAAGAAAGTGAGACAGGAGAAGGGACAAGCCAAGGCCAGTGAGCAGGAAGCTCAGAGGTGGAACGCAAGGTCAAGTGTCAGACACTTCCTGGACATGACTTTCAATCCTCCTTATTTTAAACTCCTGTGATTTCTTCATTCTGCAACTACGGATTTTTCCAGCTAAATTTTGGTGGTGAGTATGCTGCAGCTGGAGGAGAGCATGGCAACTCACTCCAATATCCTTCCCTGGAGAATCCCATGGACAGAGGGGCCTGGTGGGCTGCAGTCCCTGGGAGTTGCAAGGCGTCGACAATGACTGTGCAGCTAAGCAGAGACTGCAGCAGCACACCGCAGCACACACAGAAGGAGAAGTCCAGTGCTGTTCACATGAACTTATAGAACATTGTAAACCAATGTGACCTAATTCTAAAAAAGGGTTTAGGACCACCCACCGCTGAGTAAGACTGCTATGTGAGAGGATCCTAATCAGAGACACTCAGGATGGGCAGGGGAGGGGATCAGCCAGGTGGAGGAGGGGTGGAGCCAGATGTGATCCTGTGAACAACCCCGTCACCCTTGTCACCCTTCCCCTCCAGGTGGGAGGTGGCACAGGTAGACTGGGGTTCAGTTCACTGTCCGCTGACTCTTGCAGAGCGGCTGGGTGAGCAGCAGGGTGAGAGCTGAAGGAATGGTGTCTGCGGTGATGCCCCAGGGTCTGGGAACAGGAGGAGGCTGGGCCAGGGAGAGGGCAGGAGGAGCTCCAGGGACCCTGGGGGACCTCCTCTCGCTGCCCCATCTGGCCCTGGGGACTCTCTCTGCTGTCCCCCTCCCCGTGAGCTGTCCTGGCCTCACTTCTGAGTCACCTGCTAGAGGGCAGTGGGGCAGGAAGTGAGCACCTAGCAGTGGGTGCCCAAGGAGAGGGCTGGGAAAGAGGATCTGTGGACACCCCCCATTGGGGGAACTCCACGTGGCCCCTCTGGGGGTCTCCAGTATGCTTATCCATCCTCTTCTTGGTTCTTGATTCCTGTGTAGGTTAACTCTGCCTGGAGGAACCACCCTCAATTCTGGGTCACATGCAGGAACTGGACAGAAAAGAGGCAGCTGCCTAGCTGAGTCGTATCCAAGGTTTTCTGAGCTCATGATGGCAGCAGCAGGGTCTCAGAGATCTCCCGTCAGCTCCTTGTTTCTGTCAGGCTGGAAGGAGGTGTGACCTCACCCTTGGGGAAGAGAAAACAGAATGTGGGCTCGATCACGAGTGAGCAGTGGCTTCAAGGAGCAGTGAGGGTTGAGGCCTCTGGTGGGTTCCCCTGGGACGGCCACCAGAGCCAGCGGGGACTTAACCCAGCGTAGTTCTCTGTCTCCTAGGCTCTGTAGGTCACTAGTTAAGGAAAGTTATTCATCTCCGTCCAACATCCTCCAAGTTGTAGTCCTGTTATCCTGTTGGGGTACAAGGAGAAGATAATGACAGAGGAGACAGCCATCTGTGAAGTTATAGGAGTAATAAAACCAGAGACGGACGAACAGATAGGAAGGAATACTCTAGAAATTACATGAGGTTGGAGCAACTCTGTTACTATCTGGTAATAGGTGATGTTGATCCAGTGTCTATGATGTGCAGGCTCCTGAAACTAATCTAACTTTAGGTCAGCCCAGTTTTTCACACTGGTGCCAGAACCTGGACTTGAACCCAAGTCTTTCTGATCCAGATCCCAGGTTTGTAATGACTATGCTCTACTCCATTTAATATATGAAAACAATTACCTGAGGATATATGTTTATTGGTAAATGACTCTTCTTATTCTAAAATGATGTCTTGCCCCCCAGACTCCAGTCTGCCTTGACAAAGTCCCTGGTGGTGCAACTCTGACAGCCCAGGTCTTCCTTGCTTCTGCAAGAGCCTTCATCTCCCAAGGGCCTGGAGTCCCGCCAGCCCCACCGCACTTCCTGTATCCCTGCCTTGCGTGGCTGAGGACCCCGAATGGTGCCCCGTCCTCTCTGCTGTCCTCCCCTGACCACTGGACTTTAGGTTGTCTCTAATACCTTACGTAAATAATATGAACATTCTCCTTGTATTCAACTTCACTCACATTTGAGACTGTTTACTTAAGCTTTTTCTATAAGTACAATTACTAAATTATAAAGCATCAATACCTAAAACATTTTCATAACTAGAGCCACAGTGTTATGCAAACAAACTGTCATAATTTATGTTTGCACTCATAATATATGAGGGTGTCCTTCCTTTCAGACTTTCCCATTCTCAGTTGTCTTAAAAAAAAAAAGCTTCAGGTCTTCATATACATAAAAATTTATTTTGGTTCTGCATGTGATTATCTTGCCATGGGAGAAGAGGAAGGAAAGCAGATGCTGATTACATTTAGCTACTGTTTTCAGAAGGCAAGAGAGCCTTTGTCAACTCCTCCTCCTGAGACCTGACTGAAATGATAGTAAAGGTACTTACAGGTATAATAACAGCTGCGGGTAAGAGTGCCTTGTGTTTGTGGTCGTCGCTCTGCATTGGTCTTGGCTCTGAAACTTTACACACGGTAACTTGTATGTTATTCCATTTGATATGTGTACATTGTATCCCCATCTACAGATAAGGAAGCTCAAGTACAGAAGTTTTATGATTTGGCCAAGGTCAGAAGTCTTGCCCCTGGTAGACTGGATTCTGCCCCACTCACTGGGCTCAAGAACCATAGCCTCCCTCTTCTCCCTCTGCTGCTAATAAAGACAATCATGGGGTCAACAGGAGAGTGATCAACAAATATTTGAAGACTCACTGGATGGAGAAGTGATGGCTTAATAAAGAGGAGTGCAGGAGAGGGAGAGAAACAGGGAGCGTGTTCACAGGAGAGAAGACTGGTCTGCTGGGCAGAGCCCCAGAGAGGGAGGCCAAGGGGAGAGCAGGGGACAAGCTCACCAACCCCACGTCCCATCCATATTCACAGCAGCCTTCACTCTTCGCCAGCCTTTTAAGTTACTTGAAGTTGAGGTGCAGGGAAAAACAATAGGTGGCGTGTTTGTGTAACTATGGAGGAAGATAAAGGATACCCACAAGAGAGATAGACGTGGGATCCAGGAGTCAGGAACATCAAGCCAGCAAGAAGCGAATCCAAGGATTGCAGCTGCGCACACATCAGACCTAAGAGAAACCAGTCCAGAATGGGATAAGAAGTCCAGAATCTGTAGGGACGGGGGAGTTGGTATCATATGAGGCACAGTTGGAAAGAAATGGAGGAAATGTTGAAGATAAATAGTGCAAGGGTGAAAATGAAGCCAATTAGAAACATCAGGAAAAACTAAAGTTCTGCCCAGAAGAATGTGCAGCTTTTTGGTACAAGTTAGCTCTTAAAAAAAAATGTGTTAAAATGTCACAAATATGTAAACTCTTTTGTTTGATTTTTTTTAATCTAATGTAAATTAATGTATGTCCAAGTCGTGGTTTTCCCATTTTGATTATTTTGGATGCTGTTTTAAAACTGAAGTACTGTTGATATCTATAATATCTAACAATTCAGTTAATCAATATAAAAACTAAAATACATTTCTAGAACTTGGGAGCTGAAGCTCTGAAGGGAAGAGTTGTTTACAAAACTAGGAGTAATGAAATAGTAGCTACAGTTGAGAGTGTAACAAATAAATATGTAAATAAAATGTTTAGAGGTACAAAGCTTCCTAATAGAGGATATAGAATTAGAGAAATAATGATATAAGCAGAAGATGGGGAGGGGTATAGAAAAGAATAAAAACAAATGAAATCCTTATTTTTCCTAGTAAGAAATAAATAAATAATATACAAATGTTCAAATCAACAAAATGAAAAATGCAATACCTGATACTGATTAGCTGTTGTGGTTGATGACACCCCACTATGCACCAGGCACCTTTTGAATTGCTTGGTATGAATTCACTTATTTTTAGTTCTCACAACAATCCTATAAGAAAGGAAACCGAAGCCTAGAGAGGTTAAGTAAATTACTCAAAGCACACAGTTAGTGCTAGAGTCAGAATCCAAGTACAGATTCCTGTCTCATGAGCACGTTTTCACACAATTCCACCTCCCAATGTAGTAATATCATTTGTGTGTGTGTTAATCACTCAATGGGTCTGACTCTCTGTGACCCATGGACTGTAGCCCACCTGGCTCCTCTGTCTATGGAATTCTAGGCAAGAATACTGGAGTGTGTTTCCATTTCCTTCCCCAAATATAATTTAAAGACATTGATTAACTATCTAAAGAAATAGCTGGATTTAGAAAAGGCAGAGGAACCAGAGATCAAATTGCCAACATCCGCTGGATCATTGAAAAAGCAAGAGAGTTCCAGAAAAGCATCTACTTCTGCTGTATTGACTATGCCAAAGCTTTTGAGTATGTGGATCACAACAAACTGTGAAAAATTCTAAAAAGATGGGATTACCAGACCACCTGACCTGCCCCCTGAGAAATCTGTATGTAGGTCAGGAAGCAACAGTTAGAACTGGACTTGAAACAACAGACTGGTTCCAAATCAGAAAAAAATTTTGTCATGGCTATATATTGTGACCCTGCTTATTTAACTTATATGCAGAGTACATCATAAGAAACCCTGGGCTGGATGAAGCACAAGCTGGAATCAAGATTGCCAGGAGAAATAACAAGAACCTCAAGTATGCAGATGACACCACCTTTATTGCAGAAAGCAAAGAAGAACTCAAGAGCATCTTGATGACAGTGAAAGAGGAGAGTGAAAAAGTTGGCTTAAAACTAACATTCAGAAAACTAAGATCATGGCATCTGGTCCCAACACTTCATGGCAAATAGATGGACAAGCAATGGAAACAGTGTCAGACTTTATTTGGGGGCTCCAAAATCACTGCAGGTGGTGATTGCAGCCATGAAATTAAAAGACACTTGCTTCTTGGAAGAAAAGTTATGACCAACCTAGACAGCATATTAAAAAGCAGAGACATTACTTTGCCAACAAAGGCCTATCTAGTCAAAGCTATAATTTTTCCAGTAGTCATGTATGGATGTGAGAGTTGGACTATAAAGAAAGCTGAGCTTCAAAGAACTGATGCTTTTAAACTGTGGTGTTGGTAAAGACTCTTGAGAGTCCCCTGGGCTGCAAGGAGATGCAATCAGTCCATCCTAAGGGAAGTCAGTCCTGAATATTCATTGGAAGGACTGATGTTGAAGCTGAAACTCCAATCCTTTGGCCACCTGATGAGAAGAATTGACTCATTGGAAAAGACCCTGTTGCTGGGAAAGATTGAAGGCAGGAGGAGAAGGGGGCGACAGAGGATGAGATGGTTGGATGGCATCACCAACTCAATGGACGTGAGTTTGAGTAAACTCTGTGAGTTGGTGATGGACAGGAAGGCCTGGAGTGCTGCAGTCCATGGGGTTGCAAAGAGCTGGACATGACTGAGTGACTGAACTGAACTGAAAGAAATAGCTTTTCCTTGGGAAGGATGTACCTTCTATACAAATTGATTTTTTTTAACTGTACGCACTTAGGATTTTGATTGTTTTAACTCTAAGACTGCTACTAGTGAAGCTGCTCAGTGGTGTGTGACTCCTTGTGATCCCATGGACTATAACCTACCAAGTTCCTCCATCCTTGGAGTTTTCCAGCCAAGAGTACTGGAGTGGGTTGCCATTTCCTTCTCCAGGGGATCTTCCCAATCCAGGGATCGAACCCAGGTCTCCCACATTGCAGGCAGATGCTTTACCATCTGAGCCACAGGGAAGCCCTAAGACAGCAGAAGTCACTTTGTAGGAGTCAGTAACCCACACGAATGGGGTGGTTTCTAGCACCACCACCTTAAGGATGATGGAAGCAGTTGAATTAAGTGTCAACAAGAAATAGGTGTGACTCTTGCTGTGACAACTATCACTGTAGCAGGCATGTTCGTGTTGATGAAACCAAGTTCTCTAGAAAAGTAGTAGTCATGAAAACAGGGGTAAACCAGAGTAATGAGAGTGAACTGTGACCTTCAACAGATATTGTCCAGCAGCATCTTGGCCACCCACATGTGCACCCATGGGCTTCTGTCCATCAAAGGATGCAAGATAACTTGCAGGGAAGGCATCCACAGGCCAGCATCTCTGTTCCTGTAAAGGCAAGGATGCTCTTGAAGATGTTCAGAGAAGTGGT